CGCCACCGAAGCCCCCACCCCCGCCACCACTCCCACTACCACCCCCACTCCCTCCGCCTCCTCCACCGCCACCTCCACCGCACCCACCAGCCCCTCCAGCGCCCTTGGCCCCCTTGCCCTAGCCGGTGCGGCGTCACCCGCTAGGGGCAGACGCTGCGCCGATCAACTCGGTGCCAACGAAGTCGACGGCAGCAGCAGAGGCAACAGAGGGCAAAAGGGGGGAGGGGGGAGCACCCCTCAAAGACGGGGGCACGAGGGTCACCACGAGAGGCTCCTACACCGACTATACTTTTCTCAGCTGCCAGGAGGCGCTCCTCGAGGAGGTCAACGGTGAGTTTGGTGGGGCAAACAGAGAGGAAGTGTTCCCTGACCGAGCGAAGGGAGTCAAGGAGGCGGGTGACTATGTAGTAGAGGGTGATGTACATGGGGGGGGGGTTCTTGGCGCAGAACTCAGCAGGAGCGCAGCGCGGTAGCGGGTGTCACTTGTGCGAAGGTGCGTATTGAGGTCAACGACAGTGGAACGGTGGCAAGGCAGGAAACAGGTACGGCAGCATGAGGCGGCTAAGGGCTGCAGTGGCAGGGGAAGAGTAGCGTGCAACTACAGCATCGTACAAGGTCTTAGCACTCTTGTACTGACTAAAGTGCGCGCGCTCAGTGGACGGCAAGTGACTACGCACAGCAAGACGGGCAGCAGCATCGCGTGTGGCCCACTGTGAGCGAACAGTGCTATCAGCATCGGCAGCAGGGGCAGTAGAGGCGCTAGACGTGAGATCGAAACAGGGATACACCGTCCTTCCTATCGCAGTGTAGGAAATGCTGTAGATCATTGACCTAGACCTCAAAGTCAACAGCCCGACCCTCAGCATCAAAGACTAGAAACACTAGGGGTAGCCATGAAAGCAGTGGCAGCAGGCTAGGGGCAGCATTAGCAGGCGTGGTATGTAGTGCTCGGCACTGCTCTCACCAGGGCTGGTAGGTAGGGGCCGGCAAGCGGTGGGGGCAGGGCCGAGGCGCGTCAGCAGGGACAGAGCCGCGACCGTGGTGGCAGCTCCTGCTGTCAGTGGCGGCGGCAGTCGCTGTGCTGCTAGTGGTGGTCGCCGCTGTGGTCGGATGCTGCTGGCGGCGGCGGCGGCTGCTGCTGGCGTGCGGCTGCTGCTGCTGGTGGAGGAGCCGAGGAGGGGCCGGGAAGCGGCCAGGAAGGGTGGCGACGAGGCCACGAAGGGCGGCAATGGGGCCGAGAAGAGGCCGCGAGGGGCCGTGAAGGGCGGCGACGGGCCGCTAGGGGCGGCGACGGGGCCGATAGGGGTGGCGACGGGGCCGATAGGGGCGGCGACGGGGCCGATAGGGGGCAGCGACGGAGCCGCGAAGGGCGGCGACGGGGCCGCTAGAGGCGGCGACGGGGCCGCGAAGGGCGGCGGACGGGCTGATAGGGGCGGCGACGGGGCCGGGAAGGGTGGCGACGGGGCCGCTGGGGGCGGCGACGGGGCCGCGAAGGGGCCGCGAGGGGCCTAGCAGGGCGGCGACGGGGCCGCGAAGGACAGCAATGGGGCCATAACGGGCGGGGACGGGGTCGCGAGGGCCGTGAGAGGGGCCTCTAGAAGGGCGCGACGGGCCACTAAGGGCAGGGGACGCGACGAGAGGGCGGCCCACGGGGCGCGCCTCGGGCAGGGGCGACTCGCGCTCCGGTCAGAAAAAAAATATTTTCGGTTTCAGTGGTGGGCCCTGGGAAGCGTTCTCATTAAGGAACCTGCTCTATACCATGTGAAGAAATGAGGAATGAATGAACTAGCAAGCAGGTGGGTACAAGTAGGAAAACCTAAAAGTGTTGTACCCCATATTGTCTACCCCACTACAGCCTACACAGACTATAGCATATGAGTTTGACACCACCCACCCGTCATATTGCGCGAATTCCCGAGCAGATGCCTCTATGTGATCCACCACTGGCTGTCGTCGAACTGCCAGCATGAGCCCCACAAACCCCTTGAAACCGAGTGCGCTCAAAGCCGTGAACAGAGTACTTCTTATTTTGAATGTCGATAAATCAAAGGAAATTTCACATGTTCGAAGGAAGAGAAATGAACACAATGAGATAACCCAATCAAATGTAGAAAATGGTTTGCTTGCTCAATATGCATGCAACAAGTAAAGACTAACCTGGTTAACCTTGCCAATTCTAGCAAGCAGTACTAACCAGATCTTTACAACATACATTATATACTCATGTAACTTGAATCGTGTCAAAGATGGGCTCTAAGTTGTAAAACGAAAGAGCAAGAGTCACATTTTTGCAGATATATTGCAAATAATGTTCAATACTGTAATTCAAATATGCATTTAACACACGAAGATTTCACCTTTTCCGGTTTAAATCAATTTTATTCACCATACCTCTAATCGTCATAGTTCTAATCATTTCTCACAGAATGGTATATATCCTCAGCCACGTGCTATGTTGGAATATACGCGACTGGCGTACCAGTCGCGTTCGTACTATACGCCAATGTACGTAAGTCATACGATGGAGTTCTGCCCCCTCGATACGCTCAAAATACGGTGTCCCGGGCAGGAGAAAACAAGTTTCGGGCAGGGGAAAAAGTATCAGGGAGTGAGTGATGTTTGCCGATCTGCGCAATTCTACTAGCGGAACACTAGAATCGCGCCGATCTACTAGCGGAACACTAGAATCGCGCCGATCTGCTAGCGGAACACTAGAATTCTGTGGATCTGCTAGAGAAATACTACAATCGCGCAGATCTGGTGGCAGAATGCCAGATCTGCGCCCATCTGGCTACTTGCGTCCGGCTGCGACATTAGCAGTCGACATAGGTTTTCGAAGCTGCCGACGTGAAACCCAAAGTGTGGTTGGAAGGGAAGGGTTGGGTTTGGGAGGTGGTGTGAGGTTATGTGCGGTGGAAAGGGGGGGAGGGTGCAGGGGAGAAGGCATTCGACATTCAAAAGTCAAAATTTGGTTACAGAGAATCGCAGACCTCAGAACGGTCGCAACAAATTTTTGTTTTTTCGACGGGCTGCCCGTCCAGACGTACCGCGTATTTGTCCCCGTATCATGTTTTTCCGTTTATACGTGAACGCATAAACGTGATACGAAAAAGGGCCTAAGTGTTTTTGGCAACATAGCCCACGTGTTCCAATGTGTCGATCATTCGAGTATTTTGGCAAGAATGCTTGATGAACAGATTGTGAAGAATGAGGAATGAATGAACTAGGAAAGAGGTGGGTACAAGTAGGAAAACCTAGAAATGTTGTACTGTCAAACATTATATGTTTGTGTGGTTCTAGGCTGTAGTGGGTCACACCATAAGGGGTACACCAGATTAGGGTTTGACATATTTGTACTGTTGTTCCTGCTAGTCACTCCTCATTCTCGTTTCTCATTCTGACATGGTATTACGAGCCTAGGTTCCACCTAGGACCGAAACGATAGGGCCCACCGTTTCCGCTAGCAGCGCCCTCGTGCGCCGCCGTTCTTTTTCCTGCGCCTCGAGCGCCTCCTTCTCAAGGCCCCGTATGGCCCCGCGCTAGCCTCTCACGGCCCCCGATCGGCCCCGTGCTAACCTCCTAAGGCCCCCGTCGGCCCCACGCTAGCCCCGCGCTAGCCTCCTAAGGCCCCCCGATCGGCCCGCGCTAGCCTCCTAAGCCCCCGTCGGCCCCACGCTAGCCCCGCGCTAGCCTCCTAAGGCCCCCGATCGGCCCCGCGCCTCAAGGCCCCCCGTCGGCCCCGCGCTAGCCTCCTAAGCCCCCGTCGGCCCCACGCTAGCCCCGCGCTAGCCTCCTAAGGCCCCCGATCGGCCCCGCGCTAGCCTCCTAAGGCCCCCGTCGGCCCCGCGCTAGCCTCCCACGGCCCCTGCAGGCCCGCGCTAGCCTCTCACGGCCCCTTAAGGCCCCACGCTAGCCTCCCACATCCCCTGCAGGGCCCCGCCGCTAGCCTCTCACGGCCCCCCCCTTTGGCCCCGCGCTAGCCCCGACCGGCCCTCCCGCGCTCGCCCCTCTACGATCGAGCCGCACGGCGCGACCCGAACCGAACCGCGCGACCCAGCCGAGCCGCGCCGCCCCAGCCGAGCCGCGCCGCCCTAGCCGAGTCGCGCCGCCCTAGCCGAGTCGCGCCGCCCTAGCCGAGCCGCGCCGCCCTAGCCGAGCCGCGCCCTACTTACCTGTGCACAGCACTGCTACTGCTACTGCTACTGCTACTGCTACTGCTACTATCACCACTGCTTCTACTGCTACTTCAGCTATGGCTAGCCCTACAGTTCTCTCGTTCGATTCTGAGGGCCGCCCGATTAAGTTTGATACCTGGCTCGATGATCTGCACCTGTTCCTCCAGCTCACTGCCAGAGAGGATATCTCGCTGTACGATCACGCACTAGGCACAGTCCCTGCTCCTGCTACTACTGCTACCGCTACTGCTCGCTCGCAGTGGCAGACTCGCGATGCCCACGCCCGCTTTGCCATTCGCAACTCCCTGCCAGTCGATGAGCGTGAGCACTTCGGCTAGCATCAGACTGCGCAGGCCCTGTACACTGCTGTAGTTGCGCGCTACTCCTCCCCGGCCTCAGCTGCACTAGGCCGTCTCTCCCTTCCCTACCTGTTCCCCGACCTGTCCGCTTTCCAGACAGTCGCTGACCTCATCACTCACCTCCGTACTAGTGATGCCCGCTTCCGTGCAGCCATGCCCGCTGAGTTTCTTGCCTCCAACCCTCCCCCGCTCTGGCTCACTCTCTACACCTAGTCACCCGCCTCCCTGACACTCTGCGTACAGTCAGGGACCACTTCCTAGCTCGCTGTCCCACTGAGCTCACCATTGCCCGCCCTAGAGAAGGAACTACTTGCAACTGAGAAGAGTATTGTAGCTGTAGGTGCCTCTCGTGGCGACCCCCGCACCCCTTTCTTCGAGGGGTGTTCCCCCTCCCCCCTCCTCCCCTCTGTCGCCTCTGCTGCTGCTGTCGACCTTCTTGGTGCTGAGCAGGTCGGCTCTGCGTCCGCTCCCAGCGGGCGCCGGAGCGGCAAGGGCAGGGGAGGCAAGGGCGGTGGGGGTGACGGCGGGGGAGGTGGTGGTGGGGGTGGTGGCAGCGGCGGGGGCGGTGGCGGGGCTGGAGGGGCTAGTGGCAGCGGTGGGGGTGGTGGAGGCAGCGGCGGCGGCGGTGGCCGCGGTGGGGGCGGTGGTGGTGGCGGCAGTGGACGTGGCGGCGGCAGGGGCGGTGGTGGTCGTGGTGGAGGCGGCGGTGGTGGTCGTGGAGGCTCTGGCACTGGCCAGAGTGCGCAGCACCCTCAGTCCTCCTAGGAGCTTTGTGAGTGGTACTTACAGCACGGGGGTGGGGGGGGTAGCCTTAGCTGCACGTACGTCATCCGCACTGGTCGCCGCAAGGGACAGACGTGCGGGAGGGCGCACACTTCGCAGCGCTGCTTCTCCTCGCCTAGATGGACGCTTGGCGTGCTCAGTTTCCTGACGCTCCTGAGCTCCCTCAGTGGGCTGATCTCCTCAAGAAGGATATCGATATCTATGCTCTTGATTTTGATGTTATTCTCAAAGCAATGTATGCATTGACTATTAGTGGAGAGGAGGACCAGTACCTGAGTGTTCCGCCTGACCCAGGCATCCGCACGAGTGAGGCTGCCGCCCTAGGTGCTTGCGTGTCTGCTACCCCAGGTACTGGTGAGGCTACTGCTCTAGGTGCGTGTGTGTCCGCCACCCCAGGTACTACTGAGTCCACTGAGGCACTGCACACCTTCACTCTAGACTCAGGCGCTTCGCGCTGTTTCTTTCGTGACCGCACTGCTCTTGAGCCCCTTGCTCGACCAGTCGCTGTCTCGCTCGCTGACCCCTCTGGGGGTCCAGTCATTGCGACCTCCTCCACCCTCCTTCCTTGTCCTGCTGTCCCGTCGGGCACACTGTCAGGTCTCCACCTCCCCTCGTTCTCTACGAACTTGGTGGCGGGTTGTGCGCTTCACGATGGGGGTGTTCACCAGTTCACCCCTGCCTACGAGCGTGTGACACACTGCACGTGTGCTCGGACGGGCCGTCACCTGGCTACCTTCACTCGGCAGCCGGGGTCGGACCTGTACACACTGACCACTGAGTCCCCTCAGGTAGCGGCGTCTGCGTCTGCGTCTGCGTCAGGTCAGCTCTCTGCCCCCTGCTCGTGTCGCTCTCTAGCGCACAAGACTGTCCTCTGGCACCACCGACTTGGTCACCCGTCAGTGCAGCGCCTTCGGGGCATGCACGCCCGGTACCTAGTCTCTGGTCTTCCTCGGGTACTCCCTCCCCTCCCACCCTCCCTTGCTCCTCCTTGTCTTCCCTGTGTCGAGGGGCGGCAGCGCGCTGCCCCTCACTCCTCCTCGTTCCCCCCGACGACTGCTCCTTTGCAGACGCTCCACATGGACGTGTGGGGCCCAGCCCGCGTCCGTGGTCAGGGCCAGGAGAGGTACTTCTTGATCGTCGTTGACGACTACTCGCGCTACACCACGGTCTTCCCCTTGCGCACCAAGGGTGAAGTCCCTGATGTTCTGATCCCCTGGATCAGCAGAGCACGTCTTCAGCTGCGAGAGCGTTTTCGCTCGGAGTTTCCTGTTCTGCGCTTGCACTCTGACAGAGGTGGCGAGTTCTCCTCCGACCTCTTGGCAGCCTACTGTGCCGAGCATGGCATTCGCCAGTCGTTCACGCTCCCGGCCTCTCCACAGCAGAATGGGGTTGCTGAGCGCCGCATTGGCTTGGTCATGGAGGTCGCTCGTACCTCCTTAGTCCACGCGGCTGCCCCCCACTTTCTGTGGCCGTTTGCGGTCCGGTACGCTGCGCATCAGCTCAACCTCTGGCCCCGTGTCTCCGCTCCGGAGACCTCGCCCACACTGCTGTGGACGGGGGAGGTTGGCGATGCGTCACGCTTCCGTGTCTGGGGATCCCGAGCTTTTGTTCGCGACACGTCTGCGGACAAGCTCTCCTCCCGCACTGCTCCCTGTGTCTTTCTTGGCTTTGTCCCGGATGCGTCTGGCTGGCAGTTTTACCACCCCGCCTCGCACCGAGTCTTCCCCTCTCAGGACGTCACTTTTGACGAGTCCGTGCCCTTCTACCGCCTCTTCCCCTACCGCACTGCCCCGCTCCCTCCCCCGCCTCTCTTCCTCGCGCCAGGTGCTGCAGTGGTAGACCCCCTCCCCCCTCAGGGTGCCGCTCCCTCAGGTGTCTCTCAGGTAGACCCGGTTGAGCCTGCCGAGGTAGCTGTCGACTCGCGTCCTGCTGGAGGTGCTGAGCCTGAGCGTGCGGAGCCTGAGCGTGCGGAGCCTGGGGGTGCTGAGTCTGGGGGTGCTGATCCTGGGGGTGCTGAGCCTGGGGGTGCTGGGTTTGGGGCTACTGAGCCTGGCGTTGCTGAGTCTAGGGGTGCTGCGCCTGGAGTTGCTGAGCCTGGGGGTGCTGAGCCTGGTGGTGTTGCAGTTGACTGTGAGGCGCCTGGAGGACCTCCCTCTTCGCAGCAGCTGCGTGAGTGGTACTCACGGTATTGCAGCCTCCGGCGGGGTGAGTCTCGGGCTCGTGGTACTGCTGGAGTTGGTACTCGTGCTTCCCCACCACGGCGGGAGCCGCCCTCTTCCCCTCAGCTTCGAGAGTGGTACGCTCGGCACATCAGTCTCCGTAGTGGAGCTGCTGGTGCTGGGGTCCCCGGAGTTGACGCTGCTGCGGGTGCTACGGACCCTGGTGCTGGAGGTGCTGCTGCTGCTGGCGGTGCTGCTGGAGGTACTGCTGCTGCTGGCGGTGCTACTGGAGGTGCTGCTAGTACTGAGGACCCGGGCGTTGGAGCTGCTGTGGGTGCTACGGACCCTGGTGCTGGAGGTGCAGCTGCTGCTGGCGGTGCTGCTGGAGGTACTGCTGCTGCTGGCGGTGCTGCTGGAGGTGCTGCTGGAGGTGCTGCGGACCCTGGTGCTGGAGGTGCTGCTGCTTCTGGAGGTGCTGCTGCTGCCACTGGTGTCTCTGCTGGTTCGAGAGCTGCTGCACGGCCACGACCGTACTTCGTTCCGCTCCTTCAGCAGGTTCTTGGTCAGCCTCCTCCTCCTTGTTCTCCTCTCGCCTTAGAGTGTCCGCCGTCTGTCCAGTCACAGCCACAGTTACCGCCTGCCTCCCCACTCCCTGTGCCTGCTCCTTACAATGGTCCGACTGACGGTCTTGCTGAGAGACGTGAGCCTGCGTCACGTCCTGTGTCACCTGCGTCTCATCGAGCGTCGCCTGTTCGAGCTGCTACCACTGGTAGTCGTGTCCCGCGTGAGCGTCCTCCTACTGTCCCAGGCACGCACCAGATGGCACTTCGTCAGTCCACTGCTCGGCAGCGTGTTGCTCTCCCGTCGCCTCCTGCGTCCTCTCTTCCTGCTCTTGCTGACCCGGAGTCAGACTCCCTTCGCGCTGCCAGTCCTACTGTCACACGTCTCCTGGCTACGGCTGTCACTGACCCTTCCTTTGAGTCCGCTGCTGCGTCTGCCCTAATCACTGAGCTTGTCGACTTTGCAGCTGCGTGTCGTCTAGACTACGCAGCGAATCTTGTTGCTGAGTCTGAGTCTGCCTGTCCTCCGTCCGTCGGGGGTGAGTGTGCTCTTGGCACGGACGTCCTTGCGGACAGGCAGGAGGAGTTTGGTTGCCTTGTCGCTGCTTTGCCCCATCTCGTGTCCATGCTTGTTGCCCCTGAGGGAGACCCGGATGCACCAGACATCCCGACCCCACGCTCTTACGCAGAGGCGATGGCCGGTCCCTACTCCTCTCAGTGGCAGTCAGCCATGGACACAGAGATGGCTTCCTGGAAGTCCACAGGCACCTACGTCGACGAGGTTCCCCCACCTGGGGCGAACATCGTCAGTGGCATGTGGATTTTCAGGGTGAAGCGGCCGCCGGGCTCTCCGCCTGTCTTCAAGGCGCGTTACGTTGCACGAGGCTTCAGTCAGCGAGAGGGAGTTGACTTCTTCCAGACCTTCTCTTCCACCCCAAAGATGACTACTCTTCGGGTTCTGCTACACGTCGCCGCTCAGCGTGACTACGAGCTCCACTCTCTTGACTTCAGCACAGCTTTCTTGCAGGGCAGCCTGCACGAGGAGATCTGGCTGCGCCGCCCACCTGGCTTCACTGGGTCGTTCCCTCCTGGCACCCAGTGGAGCCTCCGGCGGCCAGTCTACGGTCTCCGCCAGGCGCCGCGTGAGTGGCACGACACACTGAGGACTACCCTTGCGGCTCTTGGGTTTGCTCCTTCTACTGCTGACCCGTCGCTGTTTCTGCGCACCGACACCTCGCTGCCGCCGTTCTACATCATCGTGTACGTCGACGACTTGGTCTTTGCCACTGCGGACACTGCCGCACTCGCCCACGTGAAGTCCGAGCTGCAGAAGAGACACACGTGCACAGACCTGGGTGAACTGACAAGCTATCTTGGCTTGCGGATCACCCGGGACAGAGCACGCCGCACCATTACCCTGACTCAGTCACACATGGTGCAGCAGGTCCTTCAGCGCTTCGGCTTCACGTACTCCTCGCCTCAGTCCACTCCTCTGCCTACGGGTCACTCGCTCTCAGCTCTGCCTTCGGATGAGTCCGTAGAGTCGAGTGGTCCGTATCCAGAGCTTGTGGGCTGCCTCATGTACCTGATGACCTGCACTCGACCTGACCTAGCATACCCTCTCAGCATCTTAGCACGCTATGTTGCTCCCGGCCGTCACCGGAAGGAGCACATGGATGCAGCTAAGAGGGTGTTGCGCAACTTGTGCAGTACGTCGGGCATGGGGCTAGTGCTTGGAGGGCGAGACCGGCCTGTTCTCACTGGGCACTCAGACGCTTCTTGGGCAGACGACCAGGCTACTCAGCGGTCGTCTCAGGGTTACACCTTCAGTCTTGGCTCTGGCTCTGTCTCTTGGCGTTCTACTCGTTCTTCTTCTGTTCTCAGCTCCAGCTGTGAGGCTGAGATCTACGCCACGGCCATGGCTGCCCAGGAGCTTCGCTGGCTCACCTACCTGCTGACTGACCTTGGAGAGCAGCCTCGTTCTCCTCCAGTGCTGTACGTCGACAACAAGGCAACCATTGCCTTGTGCCAGGAGCACAGACTGGAGCACAGGACGAAGCACATTGCTCTGCGTTACTTTCTAGCTCGAGAGCTACAGCAGCGTGGTCAGCTTCTTCTGCGTTACGTGGCCACTGAGGCCAACACTGCTGATGTGTTCACCAAGGCGCTTCCGCCTGTTGACCATCAGCGTTTTTGCACTCTTCTAGGCCTTGTGCCGACTGTTTCTCACTTACTTACTTCTTGACTTTACCTGTACTGTGATCATTATATATATACCTGCATGTTTGCCTTGTTAGGTTGTGATCATTGTACCTCTTGCTCTATTATAAAACTGCATGTGAACTGGTCTTGTGACCGCTTGCTTGTGCTCGAAATTTGTGTGGAATCCTCGAGATCCACCCTGAGCTTGTTTGCCTTGTTTTGCCTTGACTGGTCTTGTGACCCCTAGGTCTCCCCCACTTTGCCTATGGGGGTGTGTCAAACATTATATGTTTGTGTGGTTCTAGGCTGTAGTGGGTCACACCATAAGGGGTACACCAGATTAGGGTTTGACATATTTGTACTGTTGTTCCTGCTAGTCACTCCTCATTCTCGTTTCTCATTCTGACATGTACCCCATATAGCCTACCCCACTACAGCCTACACAGACTATAGCATATGAGTTTGACACACCCCCATAGGCAAAGTGGGGGAGAACAAGAGGTCACAAGACCAGTCAAGCAAAGCAAAGCAAGCTCAGGGTGGATCACAATGTTACCACACAATCCGAGCACAAGAGCAAGGCCAAAAGGCTAGTTCACATGCAATATCATATATAAAGGTAAACAGGCAAGTGCAGGTATAGAAAGATCACAGTACAAGCAAGGTCAAGAAGTAAGCAAGTGAGGCCAAGTAGGCACAAGACCTAGCATCGTACAGAAGCGCTTATGATCACAAGGCGGAAGTGCCTTGGTAAAGATATCAGCAGTGTTGGCCTCAGAGGCCACGTAAGCAAGGCACAGCTGACCACGCTGCTGCAGCTCACGAGCAAGGAAGTAGCGAAGAGCAATGTGCTTTGTTCTGTGCTCCAGTCTGTGCTCCCGACACAAGGCCAGCATGGCCTTGTTGTCTACGTACAGAACTGGAGGAGAACGAGGCGGCTCTCCGAGGTCAGTCAGCAGGTAGGTGAGCCAGCGTAGCTCCTGTGCAGCCATGGCCCCCGCGTAGATCTCAGCCTCACACCTGGAGCCGAGAACAGAAGACGAGCGGGTAGACCGCCACGAAACTGGGCCGGAGCCAGGGCTGAAAGGTGTAACCCTGTGACGACCTCTGCGTAGCCTGGTTGTCAGCCCAAGAAGCGTCTGCGTGACTTGTGAGGACCACTGGACGTCGCCCTCCAAGCACTAGCCCCATGCCCAACGTACTGCACAAGTAGCGCAACACCCTCTTCGCTGCAGCCATGTGCTCTGGTCGGTGTCTCCCAGGAGCAACATAGCGTGCCAAGATGCTAAGAGGGTATGCAAGGTCAGGTCGTGTGCAGGTCATCAAGTATATGAGGCAGCCAATAAGCTCTGGGTACGGGCCACTCGGCTCTACGGACTCATCCGAAGGTAGAGCTGAGAGCGAGTGGCGAGTAGACAGAGGAGTGGCCTGAGGCGAGGAGTACGTGAAGTCGAAGCGCTGAAGGACCTGCTGCACCATGTGTGACTTAGTCAGGGTAATGGTGCGCTGTGCTCTGTCCCGGGTGATCTGCAAGCCAAGGTAGCTGCGCAGTTCACCCAGGTCTGTGCACGTGTGTCTCTTCTGCAGCTCGGACTTCCCGTGGGCGAGTCCAGCAGTGTCAGCAGTGGCAAAGACCAAGTCGTCGAAGTACCAAGGATGTAGAACGGCGGCAAAGAGGTGTCGGTCCGCAGAAACAGCGACAGGTCGGCTGTAGAAGGAGCAAACCCAAGAGCCGCAAGTGTAGTCCTCAGTGTGTCGTGCCACTCACGGGGCGCCTGGCGGAGACCATAGACTGGCCGCCGGAGGCTCCACTGGGTACCACGAGGAAACGACCCAGTGAAGTCAGGTGGGCGGCGCAGCCAGATCTCCTCGTGCAGGCTGCCCTGCAGGAAATCTGTGCTGAAGTCAAGAGAGTGAAGCTCGTAGTCGCGCTGAGCGGCTATGTGTAGCAGCACCCGAAAGTAGAGAAGGTCTGAAAGTAGTCAACTCCCTGCCGCTGACTGAAGCCTCGAGCCACGTAACGCGCCTTGAAGACAGGCGGAGAACCCGGCGGCCGCTTCACCCTGAAAATCCACATGCCACTGACGATGTTCGCCCCAGGTGGGGGAACCTCGTCGACGTAGGTACCTGTGGACTTCCAAGAAGCCATCTCTGCGTCCATGGCTGACTGCCACTGTGAGGAGTAGGGACCCTCGATCGCCTCAGCGTACGATCGAGGAGTCGGGATGTCTGGTGCATCCGGGTCTCCCTCAGGGGCAATCAGCGTGGACACGAGATGAGGCAAAGCAGCAGCAAAACATCAGAACTCCTCCTGCCTGTCCTCAAGGTTGTCTCTGCTAAGAGCACACTCACCCTCGACGGACGGAGGACAGACAGACGCAGACTTAGCAACAAGACTAGCGGCGTAGTCTAGACGACAGCGTGCAGCAAAGTTGACAAGCTCAGCAACTAAGGCAGACGCAGCAGTGGACTCAAAGGAAGGGTCAGTGACAACAGTAGCCAGGAGACGCGTGACAGTAGGACTGGCAGCACGAAGGGAGTCAGACTCCGGGTCAGCAAGGACTGGAAGAGAGGACTCTGGAGGAGACGGCAATGGGACACGCAGAGGAGCAGTGGAAGGACGCCATCTAGTATGTGCCTGGGAACGCAGGAGGACACGGACGCGGAGCACGACCACTAGTGCGAGCAGCACGAACAGGCGACGCAGGACGAGACGCAGGCTCACGACGCTCAGCAAGACCTCCAATAGGAACAGTGTAGGGAGAAGGAGCAGGCAGGGGGGAGGCGGGCTGTTACTGTGACCGCGACTGGACAGGCTGTGGACACTCTAAGGGAGGAGGAGGACCAGTAGAGGGCAGGAGACCAAGAACCTGCTCAAGGAGCGGAACGAAGTACGGCCGCGGCCGCGCAGCGCCTCCAGAACGAGCAGGGACAGCACCAGTACCCCCAGTGGCAGCACCAGCGCTAGAAGCACCTCCAGCTCCAACAGCGCCAACTCCAGCACTTTCAGACGCACCAGCGCCAGCAGAACCACCCCCGCCAACACCCCCAGCAGCTCCAGCTCCCGGAGCTCCAGCAGCACCAACTCCAGCAGGACTGTCAGCTCCAATACCGCCACCAGCTCCAGCAGTACCTCCAGCAGGGCTAACTCCAGCAGCCTTAGCAGCACCCCAAGTCCCAGCAGCTCCAGTACCGCTAGTACGAGCACCTCCGGGACCAGCAGCAACAGTAGTACCTCCAGCTTCAGCAGCACGGCTCCATCGCCGGGCAAACCACTCGCGCAGCTCCTGCGGAGAGAGTAGCTCCCGCCTCGACGAAGCACCGCGAGAGGCCACACGAGCAGACCCAGCACCCCCCAGCTCCGCACCCCCAGGCTCAGCACCCCCAGGCTCAGCACCCCCAGCCCTAGCACCCCCAGGCTGAGCACCTCCAGGCTCAGCACCCCCAGACTCAGCACCCCCAAGCTCAGCACCCCCAGACTCAGCACCCCCAAGCTCGGCACTCGCAGGCTCAGCACCTCTAGCAGCACCAGAGTCAACAGCTACCTTGACAGGCTCGACTGCATCTACCTGGGACACACCTGGCGGGGCAGGACTATGAGGGGGGAGGGGGTCTACCGGGGGAGGACCTGGCGCAAGGAAGAGCGGCGGCGGGGGGAGGGGCGCAGCGCGGTAGGGGAAGAGACGGTAGTAAGGCACCGACTCGTCAAAGGTGACGTCCTGGGAGGACAGAAGACGGCGCGAGGTGGGGTGGTAAAACTGCCAACCAGGCGTGTCAGGGGGGAAGCTAAGGAAGACGCAGGGAACAGCACGGGGGGACAGCTTGTCCGCAGACAAGTCGTGGACAAACGCCCGAGATCCTCAGACCCGAAACGTAGACGCATCGCCAACCTTCCCCGTCCACCGCAAGGTGGGGGAGGTCTCTGGCAAGGAGACCCGGGGCTGAAGGTTGAGCTGATGCGCTGCGTACTGAACCGCAAACGGCCACAGAAAATGGGGGGCAGCCGCATGGATCATGGACGTACGAGCGACGTCCATGACCATGCTAATGCGGCGCTCAGCAATCCCATCTTAATGTGAAGAGGCCGGAAGCGTGAAGGTATGGCGGATGCCCTGTGCACGACAGAAGGCTCCCAAACGGGCAGAGGAATACTCCCCGCCTCTGTCAGAGTGCAGACGTAGAACAGGAAAGTCCGGGCCGAAACTCTCTCTGAGCTGGAGACGAGCTGCACGGATCCAGTCGATCAACACCTCAGTGACGTCACCCTTGCTGCGCAAGGGGAACACCATGGTGTAACGCAAGTAGTCGTCAACCACCAACAGGAAGTAACGCTCGTGACCCTAGCCACGGACGCAGTGGAGCCTCTGTCGAAGGAAACTTGGAGGAGTGAGGGGCGGCGCGCTGCCGCCCCTCGACGCAGGGAACGCAGGTAGGGGCAGGCCCTAGAGGGAGGGGAGGGAGGGGCCGGAGGAGACCAGAGACAAGGACACGGGAGGCCATGCCTCGGAGACGAGGCAGGGAGGGGTGACCAAGGCGGTGGTGCCAAAGGAGAGTCTGGTGGGACAGGAGATGACACGAGCAGGGAGCAGACTAAGGACCAGACCTGGACGCTGCAGCAAACACCTGACTCGACACAGCTACCTGACCAGACTCAGTAACCGGAGGAGACTCAGTAGTCAGTGTGTACAGGCTCGACCCCAGCCGACTGGTGTTACTGCGCAGGTTAGCTCGGCATGTGAACCGCCCACACGGGTTCATGCTGGGCTGCAGGTCACCGTCACCCTTGAAGCTCCTCTGGCCGCACGGGTCCTTGGGAACTGGAGGGTGGTACAGACAAGAACAAGAGAAAACGGGTGCAAATACAGCTTCATTGAAAAAGACATCGTGCAGGAATGAGCAAGGTCAGCCAAGTGAGAGGTGTAAGGTGTGGAAACCGTGAGTTGGAAATTCACCATCTTACGAACGTGGTCAGCACTGGCTCACACGCTCTTCTCTTTGTTGACCATGTCTCCACTCCACCGTACTACATGACTGTGATTTACATCTTGTTCTGTGCCTTTCACACTGGACCAGTGACTATTGACCCTATGATGTGATGTTCTTGAATTGAAGGGATGAGGAAATAGAGATACGACGGGGGAAGTTTCTTCACTCAGCGGTGGGTGCCTCACTCTTGACAATGGGCTAAATGCCAGGCAGTACGTTTATGCCACACACGCCATCACCTCCCTGAATGTCCATATGCATGTGGCCCCTGTCACCCCACTCCACTCCCCAAGAATTGCGGATAATCCAGAATGGAGGCGCAATGCGATTTTGGCTGCCATCATTTCTGAAGATAAAGTAGCCAACAACGAGTACAGCGTGGTTCAGTCTGCCGGTGTAGCAGCCAAGGTCTGAAGCGATAGGGGGACATCACAACAAAAATGGGAATGGGTGTTAAAAAATGTACAGATTGATGTGGGTAACCACTGTTCTAAAACAAATTTCAACGTATGCACATCATACAGGGTCCATACAGGCACCACCTGTGAAGAAATGAGGAATGAATGAACTAGCAAGCAAGTGGGTACAAGTAGGAAAACCTAAAAGTGTTGTACCCCATATTGTCTACCCCACTACAGCCTACATAGAATATAGCATATGAGTTTGACACACCCCCATAGGAAAAGTGGGGGAGAAAAAGAGGTCACAAGACCAGTCAAGCAAAGCAAAGCAAGCTCAGGGTGGATCACAACGTCACCACACATTCCGAGCACAAGTTCAAGGCCACAAGGCCAGTTCACATGCAAGATCATATATAAAGGTAAACAAGCAAGTGCAGGTATAGAAAGATCACAGTACAAGCAAGGTCAAGAAGTGAGCAAGTGAGGCCAAGTAGGCACAAGACCTAGCATCGTACAGAAGCGCTGATGATCACAAGGCGGAAGTGCCTTGGTAAAGATATCAGCACTGTTGGCCTCAGAGGCCACGTAAGCAAGGCGCAGCTGACCACGCTGCTGCAGCTCACGAGCAAGGAAGTAGCGAAGAGCAATGTGCTTTGTTCTGTGCTCCAGTCTGTGCTCCCGACACAAGGCCAGCATGGCCTTGTTGTCTACGTACAGAACTGGAGGAGAACGAGGCGGCTCTCCTAGGTCAGTTAGCAGGTAGGTGAGCCAGCGTAGCTCCTGTGCAGCCATGGCCCCCGCGTAGATCTCAGCCTCACAGCTGGAGCCGAGAACAAAAGACGAGCGGGTAGACCGCCACGAAACAGAGCTGGAGCCAAGGCTGAAGGTGTAACCCTGTGACGACCACTACGTAGCCTGGTCGTCAGCCCAAGAAGCGTCTACATGCCCAGTGAGGACCACTAGACTGCGCCCTCCAAGCACTAGCCCCATGCCCAACGTACTGCACAAGTAGCGCAACACCCTCTTCGCTGCAGCCATGTGCTCTGGTCGGTGTCTCCCAGGAGCAACATAGCGTGCCAAGATGCTAAGAGGGTATGCAAGGTCAGGTCGTGTGCAGGTCATCAGGTACATGAGGCAGCCAACAAGCTCTGGGTACGGGCCAGTCGGCTCTACGGACTCATCCGAAGGCAGAGCTGAGAGCGAGTGGCGAGTAGACAGAGGAGTGGCCTGAGGCGAGGAGTACGTGAAGTCGAAGCGCTGAAGGACCTGCTGCACCATGTGTGACTGAGTCAGGGTAATGGTGCGCAGTGCTCTATCCCGGGTGATCTGCAAGCTAAGGTAGCTGCGCAGTTCACCCAGGTCTGTGCACGTGTGTCTCTTCTGCAGCTCGGACTTCACGTGGGCGAGTCCAGCAGTGTCAGCAGTGGCAAAGACCAAGTCGTTGACGTACACGAGGATGTAGAACGACGGCAAAGAGGTGTCGGTGCGCAGAAACAGCGACGGGTTGGCACTAGAAGGAGCAAACCCAAGAGACGCAAGTTTAGTCCTCAGTGTGTCGTGCCACTCACGGGGCGCCTGGCGGAGACCGTAGACTGGCCGCCGGAGGCTCCACTGGGTACCAGGAGGGAACGACCCTGTGAAGCCAGGTGGGCGGCGCAGCCAGATCTCCTCGTGCAGGCTGCCTTGCAGGAAAGCTGTGCTGAAGTCAAGAGAGTGAAGCTCGTAGTCGCGCTGAGCGGCTATGTGCAGCAGCACCCGAAGAGTGGTCATCTTTGGGGTGGAAGAGAAGGTCTAAAAGTAGTCAACTCCCTGCCACCGAGTGAAGCCTCGAGCCACGTAGCCCGCCTTGAAGACAGGCGGAGAACCTGACAGCCGCTTCACCCCGAAAATCCACATGCCACTGACGATGTTCGCCCCAGGTGGGGGAACCTCGTCGACGTAGGTGCCTGTGGACTTCCAGGAAGCCATCTCTGCGTCCATGGCTGACTGCCACTATGAGGAGTAGGGACCCTCGATCGCCTCAGCGTACGATCGAGGAGTCGGGATGTGTGGTGCATCCGGGTCTCCCTCAGGGGCAATCAGCGTGGACACGAGATGAGGCAAAGCAGCAGCAAAACATCGGAACTCCTCCTGCCTATCCTCAAGGACGTCCGTGCTAAGAGCACACTCACCCCCGACGGACGGAGGACAGACAGACGCAGACTCAGCAACAAGACTAGCGGCGTAGTCTAGACGACAGCGAGCAGCAAAGTCGACAAGCTCAGCAACAAAGGCAGACGCAGCAGTGGACTCAAAACAAGGGTCAGTGACAAAGGTAGTAAGGAGACGCGTGACAGTAGGCTGGCAGCACGAAGAGAGTCAGACTCCGGGTCAGCAAGAACAGGAAGAGAGGACTCTGGAGGAGACGGCAACGGGACACACAGAGGAGCAATGGAAGGACGCAGTGCCATCTGGTTTGTGCCTGGGACCGCAGGAGGACGTGGACGCGGAGCACGACCACTAGTGCGAGCAGCACGAACAGGTGACGCAGGACGAGACGCAGGCTCACGACGCTCAGCAAGACCTCCAGTAGGACCAGTGTAGGGAGAAGGAGCAGGTAGGAGGGAGGCGGGCTGTAACTGTGACCGCGACTGGACAGGCTGTGGACACTCTAAGGGAGGAGCAGGACCAGTAGAAGGCGGGAGACCAAGAACCTGCTCAAGGAGCGGAATGAAGTACGGCCGCGGCCGCGCAGCGCCTCTAGAACTAGCAGGGACAGCACCAGCACCCCCAGCGGCAGTACCAGTGCCAGCAGCACCTCAAGCTCCAACAGCGCCAACTCCAGCACCTTCAGAAGCACCCGCTCCAGCAGCACCTCCAGCGCCAACACCCCCAGCAGCTCCAGCTCCAGCAACTCCAGCTCCAGCAGCTCCAGTAGCACCAACTCCAGTAGGACCGCCCGCTCCAGCACCGCCAGCAGGGCCAGCACCAGGAGCACCTCCAGGCCCAGTAGCTCCAGTACCTCCAGTACCTCCAGCAGCACCAGCAGCACCCCCAGTCCCAACAGCCTCAGTACCGCAAGTACGAGAACCTCCACGACCAGTGCCTCAGTAACTCCAGAGCCGACCCCAGGGTCAGCAGCAACAGTAGTACCTCGAGCTCCAGCAACACGGCTCCAGCGCCGGGCAAACCACGCGCGCAGCTCCTGTGGGGAGGGTAGCTCCCGCCTCGACAAAGCACCCAAAGGGTCCCCAAACCCATTACCGCCAGAGGCCAGACGAGCAGACCCAGCACCCCCACGTTGCGCACCACCAAGCTCAGCACCCCCAGGCTCCGTATCCCCAGGCTCCGCACCCCCAGGCTCAGCACCCCCAGGCTCCGTACCCCCAGGCTCCGCACCCCCAGGCCCAGCACCCCTTGACCCAGCACCCCCAGGCTCAGCACCCCCAGACTCAGCACCCCCACGCTCAGCACCCCTAGCAGAACCAGAGTCAACAGCTACCTAAACAGGCTTGACTGCGTCTACTTGGGACACACCTGACGGGGCAGGACCCTGAGGGGGGACGGGGTCTACCGGGGAGGGACACGGCGCAAGGAAGAGCGGCGGCGGGGGGAGGGGTGCATTGCGGTAGGGGAAGAGACGGTAGTAAGGAACCGACTCGTCAAACGTGACGTCCTGGGAGGACAGAACACAGCGCGAAGTGGGGTGGTAAAACTGCCAACCAGGCGCGTCAGGGGGGAAGCCAAGGAAGACGCAAGGAACTGCACCGGGGGAACAGCTTGTCCGCAGACAAGTCGCGGACAAACGCCCGAGATCCCCAGACCCGAAACGCAGACGCATCGCCAACCTTCCCGGTCCACCGCAAGGTGGGGGGGGTCTCTGGCAAAGAGACCCGGGGCTGAAGGTTGATCTGATGCGCTGCGTACTGAACCGCAAATGGCTAAAGCAAATGGGGAGCAGCCACATGGATCATGGACGTACGAGCGACGTCCATGACCATGCCAATGCGGCGCTCAGCAATCCCATTTTGCTGTGGAGAGGCCGGAAGCGTGAAGGTCTGGCAGACGCCCTGTGCACGACAGAAGGCTCCCAAAAGGGCAGAGGAAAACTCCCCGCCTCTGTCAGAGTGCAGACGCAGAACAGGAAAGTACGAGCCGAAACTCTCTCGGAGCTGGAGACGAGCTGCGCGGATCCAGTCGATCAACACCTCAGTGACGTCACCCTTACTGCGCAAGGGGAACACCGTGGTGTAACGCGAGTAGTCGTCAACCACCAACAGGAAGTAACGCTCGTGACCCTGGCCATGGACGCGGGCAGGGCCCCACACGTCCATGTGAAGAGTCTGCAGCGGAGCCTCTGTCGGAGGAAACTCGGAGGAGTGAGGGGCGGCGCGCTGCCGCCCCTCGATGCAGGGAACGCAGGTAGGGGCAGGCCCTGGAGGGAGGGGAGGGAGGGACCGGGGGAGATCAGAGACAAGGACATGGGAGGCCATGCCTTGGAGATGAGGTAGGGAGGGGTGACCAAGGCGGTGGTGCCAGAGGAGAGTCTGGTGGGACAGGAGACGACACGAGCAGGGAGCAGACTCAGGACCAGACCTGCACGCTGCAATAAACACCTGACTCGACGCAGCTACCTGACCAGACTCAGCAACCAGAGGAGACTCAGTAGTCAGTGTGTACAGGCTCGACCCCGGCCGACGGGTAAACGTGGCCAAGTGTCGGCCCATCCGAGCACACGTACAGTGGGTCACCCGCTGACTCGCATGAGTGAACTGGTCAACCTCCCCATCCTGTAGATCAGCACCACTCACCAAGTTCGTAGAGAACGAGGGGAGGTAGAGACCTGACAGGGTGCCAGAGGGGGCCGCCATACACGGTAAGACAGTGGAGAAGTGGGCAAGGACAGGACCCCCAGAGGGGTCCGCCAGGGAGACCGCAACCGGCCGACTAAGCGGGTAAGCGTGGTGCGGTCTCGAAAATAGGAGCGGGAAGCACCCGAGTCAAGGGTGAAGGTGTGTAAGGCCTGAGCCGACGTGGTACGTGAGAGAGCAGGCTCACCAGCACCGGGGGCAGTAGACGCACTAGCACCTAGAGCAGCAGCCTCACCAGCACCTAGAGCAGCAGCCTCAATGCCCGGGTCAGGCGAAACACACAGGTAACAGTCACCCTCATCACTAGTAGACACAACATACATGGCAGCAAGAATAGCATCATAATCCAGATCAAAGATAGCTATCCCCGACCTAAGCAGCTCTCCCCAGCGGGGGATCTCAGCGGCGTCAGGGATCTGGAGACGCCAAGCGTCCGTCAGGCGGCCGAAGCAGCGCTGGGTGGTGTGCGAGCCACCGCACGGCTCACTTGTGCGGTCGCGGGTACGCAGGACGTAGGCACAAGGACCAGCATGCCCACCCCGCTGACGCGCAGAGTACCACTCACGAAGCTGCTGGGGGGGGGGGGTCTCACGAGTACGCTGCTGCTGCTCGCGCTGACCACCACTGAAGCCGCCCCGCTGCGCAAAGCCACCCGGACTAGCTCCACCTCCTCTGCCGCCACCTCCGCCACCGCCGCCACCGCCTCCTCCTCCGCTCCCACTGCCACCGCCGCCGCCGCCTCCGCCTCCACCGCCGCCACCGAAGCCCCCACCCCCGCCACCACTCACACTACCACCCCCACTCCCTCCGCCTCCTCCACCGCCACCTCCACCGCCCCCACCAGCCCCTCCAGCGCCCTTGCCCCCCTTGCCCTAGCCGGTGCGGCGTCACCCGCTAGGGGCAGACGCTGCGCCGACCGACTCGGTGCCAACGAAGTCGACGGCAGCAGCAGAGGCAACAGAGGGCAAAAGGGGGGAGGGGGAGCACCCCTCAAAGACGGGGGCACGAGGGTCACCACGAGAGGCTCCTACACCGACTATACTTTTCTCAGCTGCCAGGAGGCGCTCCTCGAGGAGGTCAACGGTGAGTTTGGTGGGGCAAACAGAGAGGAAGTGTTCCCTGACCGAGCGAAGGGAGTCAAGGAGGCGGGTGACTATGTAGTAGAGGGTGATGTACATGGGGGGGGGGGGTTCTTGGCGCAGAACTCAGCAGGAAGCGCAGCGCGGTAGCGGGTGTCACTAGTGCGAAGGTGCGTATTGAGGACAACGACAGTGGGAAAGGTGGCAAGGTCAGGAAACAGGTACGGCAGCATGAGGCGGCTAAGGGCTGCAGTGGCAGGGGAAGAGTAGCGTGCAACTACAGCATCGTACAAGGTCTTAGCACTCTTGTACTGACTAAAGTGCGCGCGCTCAGTGGACGGCAAGTGACTACGCACAGCAAGACGGGCAGCAGCATCGCGTGTGGCCCACTGTGAGCGAACAGTGCTATCAGCATCGGCAGCAGGGGCAGTAGAGGCGCCAGACGTGAGATCGAACAGGGATACACCGTCCTTCCTATCACAGTGTAGGAAAAGCTGTAGATCATCGACCCAGACCTCAAAGTCAACAGCCCGACCCTCAGCATCAAAGACTAGAACACTAGGGGTAGCCATGAAAGCAGTGGCAGCAGGCTAGGGGCAGTAGTAGCAGGCGTGGTATGTAGTGCTCGGCACTGCTCTCACCAGGGCTGGTAGGTAGGGGCCGGCAAGCGGTGGGGCAGGGCCGAGGCGCGTCAGCAGGGACAGAGCCGCGACCGTGGTGGCAGCTCCTGCTGTCAGTGGCGGCGGCAGTCGCTGCTGCTGGTGGTGGTCGCCGCTGTGGTCGGATGCTGCTGGCGGCGGCGGCGGCTGCTGCTGGTGGCGGAGGAGCCGAGGAGGGGCCGGGAAGCGGCCAGGAAGGGTGGCGACGGGGCCACGAAGGGCGGCAATGGGGCCGAGAAGAGGCCGCGAGGGGCCGTGAAGGGCGGCGACGGGGCCGCTAGGGGCGGCGACGGGGCCGATAGGGGCGGCGACGGGGTCGATAGGGGCGGCGACGGGGCCGATAGGGGCAGCGACGGAGCCGCGAAGGGCGGCGACGGGGC